GGAGGTGGAGGCTCGGGATCTCAAAAAAGAAAAAAAGAGAAAAGGATGGAAAGATATCTCGCGCTTAGGGGAGGATGGATCTGGATGGTGTGCATATTTAGCGAAAAGAGAACCTTTTGTTGCTCTACGTCCCATTCCCCATGGTCAAAGGATTGCAAAGTCACCCTCGGTGGGGTGATGGTGGCTGCCAGCCCTTTGGGGGGCCCGGATCGGGCAGAGTCACTTGAGGGGTCAAAAAATTCACCTCATGGGATAACTCCCCTCCGCTACTAGTTTGTACATGCATAGTCACTGAAGCCATCAGTAGCAAAGGTCCAGGTGTGGCATAGGCCTGAAGCAAGAATCTGTCATTACTACAGTAATGTCTGGAGTAAGAAATAGGTGAATCAAGAACATTTGAAATGATTCAAAAGAAATGTCTGGTATACCAGTTTTGGCCAAGCCAGAGTCCGGAACAGGGTAGCCTGGGGAAAGGGTTGCTGCATGTTCTACAGAGTTTGAGTCAGCCTTATCCCTTCCTTTTTTGAGGGCCTTTCCACTCTCCAGTGGACCCAGGGCTGAGCTTCATCCATCTTAGTCTACTCTAAGATGTAGAGTAGACTGTGGAGCAGCTGAGCTCCTACAGATACTGGTTTCCCTGGGGTCTGAATTAAGCTAGGGTGTGAGAGCTCAATAGAACTTACAGACCGTCTAGTCCAGCCTGTGAGACTGCAGAGAAGGAAACTGAGGCAGGAGTGGGCGTGTCATGCACTGAGGTCTCAGTCAGTGGTTGAGCTGGCGTTATAACCTAGGGCACTGCCCGCCACACTGCCATGCCCTTGAGACTACTGGAGCCTCCAGATGCTGAGTGCAACCCCAGCTGATCTGAGCTTAGATACGTGACAAGCTGCAAAACTACCCATTTTGTCTCATTTTCTAGCAGTAGGATGGGTTCAGGCCAGAAATGAGAGAGCATTCAGAATAATCCCAGAGGATCCACTCTCCCCTCGCACTGCTGGGCTTCCACTCCCTCTGGGCTCTGTGCCAGACTGAGCCCCTACCCTAGGCAGCTGACTAATGTTTGGAGACTTCTGAGGAGGAAGGCAGCACTGCTGGCCTCATGCCAGTAGCTATACCTGCTGACCCAGCCCTCCTGGACTGAAGGACACGCTTCCTGCTCCTCATTCCAAGAAACCACTTCTTGCCCCTCTGCCTTCTGCGCATGAGACTCAAAAGCCACAAAAGTAAGCAGAGGAACAAAATAGGAGAAGTAGGGAATTTACGCCACCCATGCCTGGGAAGAGGGTGTGGAAGTTGGGGCTTTTCCTCTAGTGGACAGGAAGTGGTCCCAAATCAATCTGCTCAGTGGCAGGCTCCCTTCCCCCGGCCTCTGGATCTGGTGGGGAGTGACGGCATGAGAACTGGCACCTATCCAGGGGCATGATGTCACACCTGCGCCAGCATCTGCTCGCTGGGCTCCTTGCCCAGCCTGTCATTGGGCATCACTGCCCAGTAGCCCCTCGCCCTGCCCATCAGGCCTCTGGCCATTATGTTTGCAGGCCTCCAGTCCCAGCTCCCTAGAAACAAGTCCAAGGGGAGTGGGCCCAGAGTACTGGAGAGTCCAGACCAACCAAATATATCCAGGAGATCTCCCAGAGGCTGGGGTGGTTTGGATCTGTTTGGGCTCTGGGTTGGGGAAGATGGGGTGAGGAATCTGAATGTCTGTCCTTCCTGCCCAAAGGGTCACTTGGGCTGGAAAAGCACGCTTGCTCTATGCTTGCTCTAAAGCCTTATACCACCTTGGAGTTGCTGCAGGCACAGGAGGCCCGATCATCTGTGGGCAAAGGAATCCCTGGGCGCCACTCTTCTGAAATAAACTGTCAGGGGCTGCATATCTACACACCACCTACTCACCTCTACTGCTGCCCTGTCACTTGGTAGTCCCTCAGGCTTGATGGGCACAGTTTGGGGGACTTGAATCCATCTTTCTCCAAGGCTGCAGGCTTCTAAACTATGGGGCTAGAAGTCAGGGACCTGGCTTTTCATTCAAGCTCTGCCTCTAGCTTGTTGTGTGACTGTTGGCAAGTCATGAAGAGTGAAAACACACACACTTCTCTGTTTCTTTCCCAGGAATATTGCTGCCTGCCATCCCCACGAGGTGACAAGGAGCAGAGTGATGGAATTTGGGGGAGTAAAGACGGAGAGGAAGGGAATGTCTTTGATATGCAAGCCCTTTGGGGCCTCACGTGGGCAGGAACACCTAGCAGGGGAGCAGCCACAGGGGCCTCCTGGTGCTACTGACCTCTGAGCCCATCTCAGCCCATGCTGGGAATACCCTGGCCTCCTTGGTCCTCCTTGAGAGAAGGACTGGGTTCAGTTCCAACTGCACTCTTTACCAAGCCACCTCATCTCTCAAAGACTCATCATTAAATGGGGGTGTAGGCCGGGTGCAGTGGCTCACACCTGTAATCCCAACACTTTGGGAGGCCGAAGCGGGCAGATCACTTGGGGTCAGGAGTTCGAGACCAACCTGGCCAACATGGTGAAATGGTGAAACCCCATCTCTACTAAAACTACAAAAATCAGCCAGGTGTGGTGGTGGGCACCTGTAATCCCAGCTACTCAGGAGGCTGAGGCAGGAGAATCGCTTGAACCAGGAAGGCGGAGGTTGCAGTGGGCCGAGATCGTACCACTGCACTCCAGCCTGGGCGACAGAACAAGACTCCATCTCAAAAATAAGTGAATGAATGAATGAATGGGGGTGTGACCACCTACCTCTCAGATCTTTTGTGAGGATTAAATGTGTAAGAGCCCTTTGTAAACACCTTACCAAAGTAGACCATTACACTGTTGGTCCCTTCATTTCAGAAAGAACTGCCTTTTCTGCCTCACCATCCCCTGGTCTTCTCGGCAGCACTCTTCCCTTTCTTCAGGGCTGCAGCAGCTCCCTCTTATCCCTGACTGGAGGGATAGGGAACCCAGTGCTGATTGCTTGGGGGTGGGAGCAAACCTGCAGTTCCCCTAGACGTCCTCACACCTTCTACCCGACTTGGACCTTTGGGAACTTAAGAGTTCTTTAGGCCCTTTCTCAGAGTCGTCCTGCTGTTTGGAGCAGTACATTTGACATTTTCCCTTTATTTTCTGAGCACTTACCAGGGGCTTGCTTAGCTGTATGGTAGGGGAATGGGATAACAAAGGTGTCTGGGATTCTATCCTTGACTCTGGGAGGTCATGTCTCGCAGTGTTCTGGAAGACCCCCACCACTTTGGGAGTTTCAGGGAGAGACAAGACAGGATTGGGGGTACCCAGAGCTGCTCCATGTCCAGTAGCCCAGGTGAGGCATGGGTGCCCAGCCCCAGCCCCAGCCCCAGCTCTCAGCCATACCCAGCTGTCACTGACTAGGCTGCTCAGGGGCAGGGCTGGGCAGAGGGTGTGGAGGAGGAGCGCAGCAGTGAGTGTGCAGCCAGCATGGACGTCAGAGCCAGCTCCGGGCCAAGGAATGGGGCAGAAGGATGTGTTTGCCCAGTGCTAATTGAGGGCACAGGGACAGTGTGACTACGGGTTTGGATAGGGGGCTCTCATTACTCAGTGAGATAGACAGGCGAGCCGGAAATCATACGGTCACTCCCAAGTGGCCTGGTAAGTGTGTATTTGCTAGAAATCATCATGCCACCATAACGGAGTGGGGGCTCTGTAAACAGTGATGATTTCTGTCATAGTTTCTGGGTGTGGGTGTCTAAATAGGGCTGCTTGGAGCTGGGTATCTGTGCAGTTAGGGAAAGGGAGGCAGGTGCAGAGTCTTGGGGGGGAAATGGCCACTATATTCATTGCCAACTTGATCTAAGGTTGTGAATGGAGGAAATCTCGGTTTAGCTGATTGATTGTGCTAAGAGGTGGCCAAGACTCTTTCTTGTGGGGACTCTTATCAGCCCAACCAGTCATCTTCCTGCTTATGACCATTTGAGCACTCTTCTTTCATTTTTTTTTTTCTTTTTGAGATAGGGTCTTGCTCTGTCGCCCAGGCAGCAGTGTGATGGCGTGATCACTGCAGCCTTGACCTCCTGGGGTCAAGCGATCCTCCTACCTCAGCCTCCTGAGTAGCTGGGACTACAGGCACGTGCCACCATGCCCAGCTAATTATTTTTTTTAAAAAAATTGTAGAAGTTGGGTCTTGCTATATTGTCCAGGCTGAACTCAAACTCCTGGGCTCAAGCAATCCTCCTGCCTCAGCCTCCCAGAGTGCCGGAATTACAGGTGTGAGCCACAATTCCAGACCAGCACTCTTGTTTTAGAAAAAGAGTTATTCTGGCCAGGCACAGTGGCTCATGCCTGTAATCTCAGCCCTTTGAGAAGCCAAGGTGAGCAGATCACCTGAGGTCAGGGGTTCAAGATCAGCCTGGCCAACATGGCGAAACCCCATCTCTACTAAAAATACAAAAAATAGGCAGGCATGGTGGTGGGTGCCTGTAGTCCTAGCCACTTGAGAGGCTGAAGCAGGGGAATCGTTTGAATCCGGGAGGCAGAGGTTGCAGTGAGCCAAGATCATGCCACTGCACTCCAGCCTGGACAACAGAGCGAGACTCAGTCTAAAAAAAAAAAAAAGTTATTTTTGCTGCTCTCCACAAATAGAGATCTCTTAGACCGAGGTGAAAGCTGTTGGCAGGGTCTTGCATTGGGCTCGGGGGAGAAAACAGGGTTTCCTACCATTCTACACATGATTTATTCATTGTGCTGTGTCCTAGAAAGAAGTGTCTAGGAATCCAGCCACCTGGTTCTTGCATTGGCCCTGCACTTACTGGTTATGTGGGATCCTGGACTTCGTTTCCATACCTCTAAAATAAGCGGTTTGCATTAAATTATCTTAAAGCCCCTTTTGATTCTGACGGTCTGTGGTTCTCAGCCCTGTGGCCTTAAATTCTCCTTCCTCTCTCTTTATTTACTGACTCTGACTTCCCTTTACTGCTCAATGCAAAGTTCCTGGGCCTGCTCATCCCAGTTCTGACAGGATACACATGAGGTGTCACCATCCTTGGGGAGATGAGGGCTTTGAGGCAGCAGGAAGGGACTAGTCATTTGTTTCCAGAATGAAGCCCTGGGGATGAGAGTACCAGAGTCTCAGTGGAGGTCAGCAGATGTCCCTCCTTCCTTGGAATGGCAGCCCATCCCAGGAGATGTCCTGACAACACCTGTGTACCCTGCATAGGGTCCCTGATGGGCCTGGGTGACATTATCTCACAGCAGCTGGTGGAGAGGCGGGGTCTGCAGGAACACCAGAGAGGCCGGACTCTGACTATGATGTCCCTGGGCTGTGGCTTTGTGGTAAGTTCTCCCCTCAGCAGGGCTTCAGTGGACTCAACAGTAGTCTTAGTTCTTTGTCATCCTTTGGCTTCCCTTGCACTGTCACACCTAAGCCAACCTGCCGCCCTCTTTTCTTAGTGTCCACTTCCCCTAAGGGTTTCTGATACTTGGGGCGGGGAGCTTAGTGAGGTAGAGGCCTAGTGCTCCCTCACTGCAGCCTGCTGCTATCTGGGGTTTACTTCCAGGGCCCTGTGGTAGGAGGCTGGTACAAGGTTTTGGATCGGTTCATCCCTGGCACCACCAAGGTGGATGCACTGAAGAAGATGATGTTGGATCAGGTGAGCAGGAGAACGGAGTGGGGAGGGTGAGCTGTGTTGGAGGTAGGTGGGGATTTCAGCACTCATGGGACTTTAATTTCTCTTCCCTAGGGGGGCTTTGCCCCGTGTTTTCTAGGCTGCTTTCTCCCACTGGTAGGGGCACTCAATGGACTGTCAGCCAAGGACAACTGGGCCAAACTACAGCGGGTGAGCTGGGCAGGTGTGGAGAATGTCTCTGGCTAGCAGACTGACAGCCCAGGGGAAGGAGACAGGTTTTACAGGGATAAAAAAGGGGGTAAGTGCAGGTTGAGTCCCAGGCCATGAAAGAGAGGAGCTGAGGGTTATGGTGCAGGAATGTGCTCTTTGAACCCGCGTCTGTCATTCACACTGGGAAGTGGGAGCTGCTTGGAGGTGCAAGTGTTAATTTGTTCCTTTTCTGTCTCCCCAGGATTATCCTGATGCCCTTATCACCAACTACTATGTAAGAGCTGACACCTCAACTGCTTGTTCTTCTGCTTCCTTAAGTCTAGAACTGTCCTGGGATTGGGGGTCCTCCTGACATGGGAAGCCCTTCCGTTGGGATTACTCTTTCATTCCCAGGATGGGCACCATAAATAGGGAAGCCATCACCCAATTGTTCACCTTTCTCTTATGTGCAGAAGTTGGGGTAGGGCCAGGCAAGACAGTGAGTCTGGGGTCAGGTGGTGGGGCAGCCATCCAACCTTTACCTTCTCTCTTGCAGCTATGGCCTGCTGTGCAGTTAGCCAACTTCTACCTGGTCCCCCTTCATTACAGGTATGTCGCATCCCTACCCCACCCATCAAGGAATACCCACGTTACCAACAGTTGGAGACAAAATGATTCTCATTTCAACCTTGAGCTACCTTAGACCCCCAACTGGAACACTGAGCCCTGATCAGAGTTTCTCAGATTCCCAAGCATGTTATTCAGATGTCTAGCCATTTCCAGAAACCGTCCAGAGTGTCTGCCCACTGACCTTCTTCATCTCCCTAGGGAGGATCCTGCTTCTACCACCCTTGTCTCCATCCCACCTGGGGCTCCGCCTTTGATGGCGTATCTGGAGGGACAGTGGCGGGGGTGCTGCAGCCTAGGTTAGACAGAGAGGTAGACCAGAAAGCCAAGTAGAAGCCTGGCCAGACACTCATGATAAAGACAGTTGCTGAACTGCACCCAAAAAAATAGTAGAACTGAAGATGTGTGGTTCAAATGCTTGGAGGTGAGGGATTGTGGGAACAGGGGAAAATAAGGGGGAACATGGCCAAAATTTACATGAATAACATAGCTAAAATGAATACAGACTGGCTGGGCATGGTGGCTCACACCTGTAATTCTAGGACTTTGGGAGGCTGAGGCGAGAGGTTTGCTAGGGTCTAGGAGTTTGACACCAGCCTAGGCAATATAGTGAGACCTCATCTCTACAGAAAATACAAAAAATTAGCCAGGCACATGGTAACATGCCTGTAGTCCCAGCTACTTGGGAGGCTGAGGTGGGAGGATCACTTGAGCCCGAGAGATGGAGGTTGCTGTGAGCCAAGATTGTGCCACTGCATTTCAGAGCTGAGTGACAGAGTGAAGGACCCTGTTCTCAAAAAAAAAAAAAAAAAAAAAAAAAAAAAAAAAAACGGCTGGGCGCAGTGGCTCACGCCTGTAATCCCAACCCATTTGGGGAGGCTGGGGCGGGCGGAATCACAAGGTCAGGGATTCGAGACCCAGCCTGACCAATATGGTGAAACCCTGTGTCTACTAAAAATACAAAAATTAGCTGGAGCGTGGTAGGCAGTGTGCCTGTAGTCCAGCCTACTCGGGAGGCTGAGGCAGCGAGAATTGCTGATTGAACCTGGGAAGCAGAGGTTGCAGTGAGCCAAGATCGCACACCACACTCCAGGCCTGGGCAACAGAGTGAGACTCCATTTCAAAAAAAAAAAAAAAACAGAAAACAAAAAAGGAATACAGACTTATGAACCAAATCTTAAACATTAGTGTCTTTGCAACACTCTTTGAAACCAGAGCAAGTGTTATAAAACAAAAGATGCTACTTTGTATGGTAGTCCGTGCATTTTGGAAGATGAAATCTCAGCTGGGTACAGGACAGATAGGGGCCGCTTTGTGATAACAGAGCTTACATGTGGCAAAGAGGCGCGCTAAATATTTAAGCCTTTTGAGGCTCTCAGCCAGGAAACAGACTGCTCTGGGAGACACTAGAATTTGATCAGTTGTCCTTTAGTCCAGCCACACAGGCCCTTCCAGGGCACTGAAGGGGCTGGGTGCGGTGGCTCACACCCTGTAATCCCAGCACTTGGGGAGGCCAGAGGTGGGTAGAATTCACTTGAGGTCAGGAGTTTGAGACCAGCCTGGCAGCATGGTGAAACCCTGTCTCTATAAAAATACAAAAATTAGCCAGGGTGTGGTGGAGCAACACTGTAGTTCCCAGCTACCTGGGAGGCTGAGGTAGGGAGAATTGATGAACCCGGGGAGGCAGTGAGCCAAGATCGCAACTACTGCACTCCAGCCTGTGGCAACAGAGGAGACTCCATTCTCAAAAAAAAAAAGGCGCGAAATGAAGAGACCTCAAACCTGCAATCTTCTGACATTGATCCCTCCTCTTTTCCATTTCACACTCTCATCTCCAGCCCTTGCTCATGCTTAGCTTCCTCTCTTCTACCGTGTTTTCTTGTTCCTTAGGTTGGCCAGTTGTCCAACTGTGTTCTGTTATCTGGACACTCTACCTGTCCTGGATGAGCACATCGGCTCTAAGCCGGCCTCACTCCATCGTTTCCACCTTGCGAGTGATGCAGCTTGGCCTCGAACGGTCAGAAAACTTCCTAAAGTGGGCACACTAGTTTCCCACAGGGTTGGGTTGCCAGTCAGAACTAAGAGACTAGCACCCTGCAATGCTCCCTTCACTCTAAAATGCGCACGGACTGCTTTAGAGCCCTGATAATGTCTCTATTCCCACACATACTCAGGCACTCCATAAAATATCTGTTGAAACTTTCATGACCTTATCAAACTTTACACACATATCCCAGCAAATGCCACTCATCCCCACTCTTCATAGGACACATTTGTTACTCTAACCTGCTAGCCTTGTAGCTCCAGCTCTTCAGAGACCCCCGGAACCCCTTATATATGATGCCTCTAGTAAATATGTTATTTAATTGTGTAATCCGGAATCTTCCAGTTGGTAATGGAGTCATTTCTAGAGCTGGAAAGAAGCCAAGAGGGACCCACAAGCCCATCTTTTTTTTTTTTTTTTTTTTGAGATGGAGTCTCGCTCTGTCTCCCAGGCTGGAGTGCAATGGCGCGATCTTGGCTTACTGCAGCTTCCGCCTCCTGGGTTCAGGTGATTCTTCTGAGGAGCTGGGACTATAGGTGCACACCGCCATGCCCAGCTAATTTTTGTATTTTTAGTAGAGATGGGGTTTTGCCATATTGGCCAGGCTGATCTCAAACTACTGAACTCGTGATCTACCTGCCTCGGTCTCCCAAAGTGTTGGGATTACAGGCGTGAGCCACCACGCCTGGCCAAGCCCAGTCTTCTACAACTGAGAACCCTGAGGTTGGTAGAAGGGAGGTGACCTGCCCACACCAGGAGTTAGCAGAAACTTGAACCCATATTTCTTTACTACTCATGGGCAGAGTAATACTGCTGCTATGATTCCCAGGAGAGAAACGGAACTTTGCTAAACTACCACTTTGGACAAACTCAAAAGCAGATGGGCCATATTTGTGGTCTGAACGCACTTGGAGGCCAGAGACCCTCTGTTACATGGTGCCTGTGTCAGACAGCCCTAGAATTTGGATCCTGGGGCTGGAAAAAGATGAGAATGCTGGGAGACTTTGGTTGTGGAAGACTGCCTCTCAATGGGACCCACTGTGTTGGCTGAGTGCCAGCGGTGGACTCCTGATACCTGCATTTGCAGAACTGATAGCTGCCACGAGGCAGTGGTTTGCAGCAGTACAGCGTTCTCACATCATCTCTAGCCACTTCTAGAGGCGCAGGACGGGGTCAGCACCATTGACAGCCCCCACGGTCCCGCCTCCCTTTCGTGTGTCAGAACACGCGACCCGGACTAGTCTGGTCTGGTGATGGCCCTAGTCACTGCTGGCGGTTCTAAGCAGGGCGAGGGACTCCCGTGGGTCCCAGAGCAGTCCTTTCGCCCCAGCCAGCTTCTCGCTCTCCTGCGTCCAGTGCTGCTTCCAGCGCTAGCCCCAGGGAGACGAAGGCTCATGTCGGGAGGTGCGCCCCTCCGGGGCCCGCAGCCGCCAGACTCGAAGCTGTGGCTGTCATTGCTTCTACAATCAGTGCATGTTCTTCGCTGACGTCAGTCGGAGCTGTCCTGTCGCTATATAAGGCTGGCGGCAGTCCCGGGACAGACGCTGTGTTCCCCAAGGCGCCTTCGGCCCGCCCCGAGGGACAGAGACTGGAGCTCAATCTTGGACCGTACAAACATTCGCTGACAACCTGTGAGTGGCTCAGAGCGTCCACCCAGCCTCCCCCAGCACCAGGACTCCGCTCAGCTCAGCCACCGCGCTCCTTCGGGAGGGAAGCTGGGTGGAAGGGATGGAACAGCACTGGCGCAGTGGCCGGGGCTGGAGGGCAGGCTGCGGGCATTGGGCGGCTACCGGAAGGGTCGCCGGGCGAGCGCAGGGAGGGGAGCGGCCTCCTGCAGCTGCCCCAGGCGCACCTCACCCTGCGCTGCCCTTGTGTGTCCAGGGCCGGCGGCACCATGAGGCAGGCGGGGCGCGCGGCGCTGCTGGCCGCGCTGCTGCTCCTGCTACAGCTGTGCCCTGGGAACAGCCAGAGGAGCCCCGAGGCGGCCGGGGTCCAGGACCCGAGTCTGCGCTGGAGCCCCGGGGCACGGAACCAGGGCGGCGGGGCCCGCGCGCTCCCCTTGCTGGTGGAGGAGCGCTTCCCGCGCCGCGCAGGGTCCAGCCGATGGGAACCCGGGACGGCAGGCGAGCGGCCGCGGCGGGACAACCCTCCTCTGTCCATTGACCTCACCTTTCACCTGCTGCGGACCCTGCTGGAGCTGGCGCGGACGCAGAGCCAGCGGGAGCGCGCCGAGCAGAACCGCATCATATTCGACTCGGTGGGCAAGTGACGGCCCGGTTTGTGGCCGCGAAAACTTTGACCCCTTTCCCCCACCCCAGGGTTGGGATGCGGGGCAGAGCCACCAGGGCACTCTCTGCTTGACTATTTTTTAATAAAAGTACTGAAGACCCGTTGGCTTCTGTCGTGGGGGCAGGGCAGTCACAGCAGCGTGGGAACCCGTGGGAAGGTGGGGCCCCCGGGCCAGCGGGAGGGGAACAAAATGCTGTGGGGGGCTCTGGGAGAGCAGCTTTCAGCCAGGTCAGCCAGGTGCCTTTGAACCCCAGGGGTCCCCAAATCCCTAGGACCTCAGAGGTCCCAGCACCACCGCCCCGCCCTCGACCCTTTTCCCAGGGCGCTGGGCTCACCATTTCGCTCCTGGCATCACAGCCCAATAGGGGTTCATTTGGCTTCCGCCCCCCGGATAGTCTCAGGTTCTGGGAAGGGCAGGATGGTGGGCGGGTCGCCTCCGAAGCCGAGGCTGCGGCATTGGGCAGCGAAAGGAGATACGGGTCGGGGACGCTCGAGTTCTTTATTGAGATCCTCCCGGGGCGGGCGCCGATTTGGGCGACGCCGCGGTCTCTGCGCAGATCCTCCCCGACCCTAGCGCGGGCGCTCGAGCAGGGTCGGGTTGGCGCAGGCCTGTACCAGGGAAAGAAGGCTCGGTGGGCTGGTGCTGCGAAGGCGCCAGGCAGCTCGAGCCCCGCTCACTCCGTCCTCCGCCACGTGGGTTTCTCCTCTACTCAGCCTGCCTTGCCTGCCTCCCAGCACCCCGAGGAGCGGCGGGTGAGGAGGAAAGTGTATTTTTCCGCCCTTTGTGGCTCCGGGGTTGGGTGGCACCGACGAATGGGGGCTTCATGCGACCCGCAGGGAGGACAATCACTGGGGGAGGGGACGCGAGCACACCAGCCAGGCCCCACCCCAAGCCCCTCGGGCCGCTCTCACCTTAAGGCCCATCCGGCCGCTCTTCCTCCGGCCCCGCGGTGCCCTCGTCTCCGTCCAGGGCCACCTCCTCATCTTCTTCCTCCCCGGAAGCGCCTGGGCCCAAGGAAGGCCTGGTGAGGTGGAGTCCCTGCCTTTCCGGTCATCGTGCCCTCCTCACCTCCCACACAGAGGGTCCGAACCCCAGTCCCAGCGGCCCTCGGCCACCTCCCTCACCCGGCTGGAAGTCGATGGTCCGCAGCATTTCGGCCACGTGTTCCACGCTCACAGTGAATTGCTCCATGCTCTCATAGCCTGGCTCCGGCCGCCCTGCCAGCTCCACCTTCGACATGGCCCCGACCCTGCGGTGGCCACACGGACTCAGCTGGCAATGCCCCAGCACCCTCAAGCCCCGCCCCCAGCCAGTGGAGCAGCGCAGCCCCCTCCTTTCCCTTCCTGCTGTGCCTACTCACTTATTGATCAGCTCCTTGGCCTGCTGCAGGGAAGAAAAGGAGGGTGAGAGTAAGCACCGGGCCAACCCGGGCAAAGTCCCATTTCTGAGTCTCACCACAGTCCTGTGGGGTAGGTGGGAAGGCACATCCCAATCGTTAAGTAGAAAATGAACTCAGAGGGGGTGACTTGCCCACGGTCGTAGTGGCAAACAGGTGCAAGAGACAAGACTTGAACCTGGGTCTCCAGGTACCAAGGCCCCGACTCTAGCCACTGTGCGGCACTGCTACCCTCCCCTAGGGCCCACCTGGAGGTAGAGCGCCATCTGTGGCTCTTCCATGGACTGAATGGCGGACTCCACCAGCTTAGAGGAGGCCTCCAGGTGGTCGCCATACTGACGGATGAGGCCGCGGACGCGCTGCAGCTTCTCCTCTTGCTCCCGGGCCAGCGCCTGCAGCAGCTCGCCCTTGCGCTCCTCCAGCACTGCGCACAAGCTCTCAAACCTCTGGTTTAACAACTGCTTCTGCTTCCGGCTATTGTCCTAAAAGATGGGGAGCAAGGATGAGGGAAGGCCTGGCTGAGACCCAGTGGCTGGGAAAGCACAGGATACTCACAGAGAACCAACACAGAAAGTGACCCACCCATAGTGACACTGTGCGTTAGTGGCTGAGCCAGAATCCAGCCCAGATCTTTTCCATAATAAAAACACAATGCTTTAAAGTAGCTTCACTGAGTGTTGTCTATATCCCTAGCCCTGGTTTTTATTTGCATTATTCCATATAATTCTCAAAAAGAACCCATGAGGTAGCTGGTGTACCATTTATCATCATCACTGTTTTATGAGGTTAAACAAAACCAAAGCACAGAGAAGTTAAATAATTGGATTAAAGTTTTGCGGAAAAGCTGGAATGAGCACCCAGCAGCCTGGCAAAAGCACCTCCCACCACTCCCAGGACCCCAGAAACTTTTGGACCAGTTTGGCCAGAGGTCAGAGAGGAGCAGTTCTCTTGGGAGCCCGGGGTCCGCAGGCCAGCCAGTTGCTGTTCCCCCCGCCCTCCAGCCCAGGCTCACCTCGATAGTCTGGCACACCTCCTCCATCTGTGTGATGACTGCTTGCACACGGTCATTGCCTGCCACTAGCATCGCGATGCCATCGCTGAGCTCACTCTGATACACACACAGGTTAGCACTTAGAGCTGGGACCTCACCTAGAGCTATACCCCTCACCCCAGCCAGGGTTGCCTAGGAGAGGGCTGGCCCCTCCACCCCATCCCCCATGAGGGCATCTACAGCAATCTAGAAGGTTTGAACCATCAAAAGGTACAGAAGCACATTCTAGGGATTCTGGAAGGAGGTGGAGAGAAGCCCTCCACCACTAAGTGGGGAAGGAACAGACAGTCTCCAAACATCCACCAGATGTTTGGCACTGGGCTAGATGCTTTATCTGTAGATTCGTTTCCTGCATAAATTTTGAGAAATTCTTCACGATTATCCATCTGCATAATATTGCCTTTTCTCTATTCTCTTTATCCTCTCATTCTGGGAATCTGATTAGACCTGTTAGACCTTCTCACTCTCAGCCTTCTCATCTCCTAGAACTGCACATTCTGTTTTTCTTTTAGTCCTCTCATGCTATTCACTAGTTCTGTTTTCAGACAAATCTATCATTTAATTCACCTGTTGAGTTTTTTTTTTTTTTTTTTTTTGAGACGAATTCTTGCTCTGTCACCCAGGCTGGAGTGCAGTTGCGTGATCTCAGCTCACTGCAAGCTCCACCTCCTGGGTTCTCGCCATTCTCCTGCCTCAGCCTCCAGAGTAGCTGGGACTACAGGCACCCGCCACCACACCCGGCTGATTTTTTGTATTTTTAGAAGAGACAGGGTTTCACCGTGTTAGCCAGAATGGTCTTGATCTCCTGACCCTGTGATTCGCCTACCTCAGCCACCCAAAGTGCTGGAATTACAGGCGTGAGCCACTGCGCCCGGCCGAATTTTTTTTTTTGTAAGAGACAGTCTCACTCTGTCACTCAGGCTGGAGTGCAGTAGTATGATCATTGTTCACTGGACCCTCGAACTCCTGCACTCAGGCGATCCTCCTACTTCAGCCTCCCAAGTAGCTGGGATTACAGGCACATGACACCACTCCCAACTAATTACAACAAAAAAATTTTTTAGGCCGGGTGCAGTGGCTCACACCTATAATCTCAGCACTATGGGAGGCCAAGGTGGGTGGATCACGAGGTCAGGAGATCAAGACCATCCTGGCTTAACACAGTGACAAACCCGTCTCTACTAAAAATATTAAAAAATTAGCCATTTGTGGTGGGGACACCTGTAGTCCAGCTACTCTCCAGAGGCTGAGGCAGGGAGAATGGCTGTGAAGCCTAAGAGGCGGAGCTGCCAGTGAGCCTGAGATCTCTGCCACTGCACTCCCAGCCTGGATGACAGAGTGAGAACTCCGTCTCAAGAAAAAAAAAAATTTTTTTTAGAGATGTAGTTCCACTGTCGCCCAGGGCTAGGTCTCAAACTCCAGTCGCTTATTCCTCCTTCGCCCAGGCCATCCCTAGTCCTCACTGGTTTCACAGGTTCCAGCCACCCTGCCCCCAGCCATTGCTGTTAAATGTTCTATGTTATAATTATAATGATATATATATATTTATATATACACACACACACACACACGCATATACACACACACATATATTTGAGATAAGGTCTCACTCTGTCTCCCAGGCTGGAGTGCAGTGGCTCAATCTCAGCTCACTGCATTCTCGACCTTCCAGGCTCAGGTGATCCTCCCACCTCAGCCTCCCAGGTAGCTGGGACTACAGGTGCATGCCACCACGTCCAGCTAATTTTTTGCATTTTTTTTGTAGACAGGGTTTCAACATTTCCCCAGGCTGGTCTCCAGTTCCTGGGCTCAAGTGGTCCTCCCACCTCAGCCTCCCAAAGTGTCGGGATTAATGGCGTGAGCCACCACACCCAGCTACATGGTTGTTTTTTGGTATTCTATTATTGTCTGGTTTTCTAAATTTTTCATCTTGTTTTAAAAAGCATTTGATTCATAGTGACTTCCAATTATTTAATAATTCCAATATCTCAGTTCCTTTTGGGGGGTGTCCTAAATCTGTAATTTTTATGTCTGCTGACTTCACTCATGGATTACGTTTCTCTGTGCACCTTCAATTGTGAGCCAATATTTTGTTGATATTAATTAATCTAGGGAATACCTACAGGCCTAAACTGAGCATATTCTCCTCCAGGCAGTATTTGCATTTGCCTCTGTTGAAAGCCAGGTGGCGCAATTTACTGCTTTAGCTCCTAGGATCCTTGTTTAACCTGCAGTCTCTGGAACTTTTTGCCCTGTTGCCCAGGCCTGAGTGCAATGACGTTATTTATCTCAGCTCACTGCAACCTCCACTTCCCAGGTTCAAGCGATTCTCCTGCCTCAGCCTCCTGAGTAGCTGGAATTACAGGGCCTGCAACCACGCCCAGCTAATTTTTGGTATCTTTGGTAGAGACAGGGTTTCACCACGTTGGCCAGGCTGGTCTCAAACTCCTGACCTAGTGATCTGCCCGCCTCAGCCTCCCAAAGTGTTGAGATTACAGGCGTGAGCCACAGCACCCAGCCAGGTCTCTGGAATCTTAGCTGCAGGTACCCCTCTTTTAGGGGTTTGGAGGAATAGTCTGGTCTCTAGCTCAGTGACATTGCCAGCACTGGTCCTCTGGGAAATGCTGCCTTTTCTGTGCTTGCCACTCAGGGTTCTGCTTTCAGCTCAGCCTTTTCTTTTCGCCCCTCCCCACCCCCACTGATTTCCTTTGCTTCTATGTACCAAGCAATATAATTCGAAAATTCTGTTTTACACAGAATCTAGTTGTGTGATAGTGAGAGGACCCTGCGAGTATCTAGCCCACCATACTGAAGTCTGTGCGTTCATCCATTATCGAATTTTATCCTTATAGCTACTTTCACAAGTAGGCATTTTCACCCTCATTTTACACATGAGGAAAGTGAGGGCCACAAAGGTCCACTAACATACCTAGGTCACATACTGAGTCAAGCACAGAGCTAGGACTTTCACCCCAATCTGCTTGACTTTTATTATTTTATTTTATTTTCGAGACAAAGTTTCGCTCTTTTTGCCTAGGCTGGAGTGCAATGGCGCAATCTCGGCTCACTGTAACCTCCGCCTCCAGAGTTCAAGTGATTCTCCTGCCTCAGCCTCCCAAGTAGCTGGGATTACAGGCGCCTGCCACCATGCCAGCTAATTTTGTATTTTTAGTAGAGAAAGGGTTTCACCATGTTGGCCAGGCTGGTCTGGAACTCCTGACCTCAGGTGATCCACTCACCTTGGCCTCCCAAAGTGCTGGGATTACAGGCATAAGCCACCGCGCCTGGCTTAATCCACTTGATCTTATTTTTATTTATTTATTTATTTATTTTATTTATTATTATTATTTTTTTTAGACGGAGTCTTGCTCTGTCGCCCAGACTGGAGTGCAGTGGCGCGATCTCGGCTCACTGCAAGCTCCACCTCCCAGGTTCAAACAATTCTTCTGCCTTAGCCTCCCGAGTAGCTGGGACTACAGGCACCCACCACCACACCTGGCTAATTTTTTGTATTTTTAGTAGAGACGGGGTTTCACCACGTTAGCCAGGATGGTCCCGATCTCCTGACCTCGTGATCCACCCGCTTCGGCCTCCCAAAGTGCTGGGATTACAGGCGTGAGCCACCGCGCCTGGGCTATTTATTTATTTTTAGACGGAGTTTTGCTCTTGTTGCCCAGGCCGGAATGGAATAGCGTGATCTCAGCTTACTGCAACCTCCACCTCCCAGGTTCAAGCAGTTCTCCTATCTCAGCCTCCCAAGTAGCTGAGATTACAGGCACATGCCACCACACCTGGCTAATTTTTGTATTTTTAGTAGAGACGGGGTTTCATCATGTTGGTCAGGCTGGTCTCTAACTCTCGACCGCAGGTGATCCGCCCGCCTCCGCCTCTCAAAGTGCTGTGATTACAGGCGTGAGCCACCGCGCCCAGCCTGCTTGACTTTAAAACTAAGTGGAGCAACACTTTGGGAGGCTGAGGTGTCAGGGGCGTTTGAACCAGAGCAACTCCATCTTGAATAGGGGCTGGGTAAAATGAGGCTGAGACCTACTGGGCTGCACTCCCAAATGGTTAAGGCATTCTAAGTCATAGGATGAGATAGGAGATCGGCACAAGATACAGGTCTTACAGACCTTGCTGATAAAACAGGTTGCAGTAAGGAAGCCGGCCAAAACCCACCAAAACCAGGACGCCAATGAGAGTGACCTCTGGGGGTCCTCACTGCTACACTCCCATTAGCGCCATGACAATTTACTAATGCCAAGGCAATGTCAGGAAGTTACCCTATATATTCTAAAAAGGGAAGGCATGAATAATGTACCTCTTGTTTAGTATATCATCAAGAAATAACCACAAAAATGGGCAAACAGGCTGGACCCGGTAGCTCATGCCTATAATCCCAGCACTTTGGGAAGCCGAGGAGGGTGGATCACCTGAGTTCAGGAGTTTGAGACCAGCCTGGCCAACATGGTAAAACCCTGTCTCTACTAAAAATACAAAAATTAGCCAGGCATGGTGGCGGGTGCCTGTAATCCCAGCTACTCAGGAGGCTGAAGCAGGAGAATCACTTGAACCTGGGAGGCGGAGGTTGTAGTGAGCTGAGATTGCACCATTGCACTCCAGCCTGGGTGACAAGAGTGAAACTCTGTCTAAAAAAAAGGGCAACCAGCAGCCCTAGGGGCTGGTCTGTCTATGGAGTGGCCATTGTCTTATTCCTTTACTTTCCTAATAAACTTGCTTTCATTTTACTCTATGGACTAGCCCTGAATTCTTTCTTGCACGAGATCCAATAACCCTGTCTTGGGGTCTGAATCAAGACCTCTTTCCTCTAACAGAGGCAGGAGGATGGCTTGAGCCCAGGAATTCAAAACAAGCCTGGGCAACACAGTGAGATCTTGTCTCTTTTTAATATTTTATTTTTGTTTCTGAGACAAGGTCTCACTCTACCACCCAGGCTGGAGTGCAGTGGTTCAATCACGGCTCACTGCAGCCTCAACCTCCTGGGCTCAAGTGATCCTCTCACCTCAGCCTCCTGAGTAGCTGGGACTACAGGCATGCCACCATGCCCAGCTAATTTTTTGTAGAGACAAGGGTCTCACTGTGTTACACAGCCCAGGCTGGTCTCGAACTCCTGGACTCAAACAATCCCCTGCCTCTTTCTTCGAAAGTATTATTAGTACCACTACTACTACTAATATTTATTACTAGTAGTATCCTCCTAAAGGATTACAAGTGTGAGCCACTGTGCCCTGCCTGAGACCCTGTCTCTATGTAAAAATGAAAAAATTAGGGTCGGGCGTGGGCGTTCACGCCTGGAATCCCAGCATTTGGGAGGCCAAGGTGGTTCGATCACCTGAGGTCAGGAGTTCCAGACCAGCCTGGCCAACATGGTGAAGCCCCATCTCTACTAAAAATACAAAAAATTAGCTGAACATGGTGGTAGACACCTATAATCCCAGCTACTCAGGAGGCTGAGGCAGGAGAATCACCTGAACCCAGAAGGCAGAGGTTACAGTGAGCCGAGATTGCGCCACTGCACTCCAGCCTGGGCAACAAGAGCGAAACTCTGTCTCAAATAAATAAATAAATAAGCTGGGCATGGCGGCACATGCCTGTAGTTCCAGCTACTCGGGAGACTGAGGTGGTAGGGATCACATGAGCCCAGGAGTTCAAGGCTGCTGCAGTGAATCACAATCATAGCAGTGCATCCCAGCCTGGGCGACAGAGATCCCCACATCTCTTCAAAAATAAATGAATGGAACTGGGCATAGTGGCTCACGCCTGTAATTCCAGCACTTTGGGAGGCCAAGGTGGGCAGATCACATGAAGCCAGGAATCAAAAAAAAAAAAACAAAAAAACAAAAAAACTGGGCGTGGTGGCACACACCTGTAATCCCAGGTACATGGAAGGCTGAGGCATAAGAACGGCTTGAACCCGGGAGGCTGAGGTTGCTATGAGCCAAGATTGCACCACTGCACTCCAGCCTGGGTGACAGTGCGAGACTCCATCTCAAGATAGATAGATAGATAGATAGATAGATAGATAGATAGATAGATAATACATAGGGCTGAGTGCAGTGGCTCACATCTATAATCTTAGTGTTCTGGGAGGCTAAGACGGGAGGATCACTTGAGCTCAGAAGATCAAGGCTGCAGTAAGTTGTGTTTGTGCCACTGCACTCCAGCCTGGGCAACAGAGTGAGATCCTGTCTCTAAATAAATAAAGAAATAAACAAAAGATAAGTGGAATAAGAGGCTGACATTGAGACCCTGTCCTAAGCCCCCATCTCCCACACATCTACTCCCTCTCCTGTTTGATACCTTCTGGCGTTTGTAAATGGTGGGCAGTGGGGCCACCTCACAGTCCTTGTGGGCACCGAAGACCTTGCAGAGAGAGCAGGTGGGCACCTCACAGCTCAGGCAGTAGATATTGATCTTCTCCTCTTCATGCTCCTCGCACATGAGGTGCTGCTCAGCCTTGGAGTGCAGCGGCCTAGAGAGGATTGGGCAGGGGGAGGTGGACCTTAAGCATGAAGGGTCCTAGGAACACCTTCTCTTCAGCCTCCACCAACTACCACCCCTTCTCCACCCCTGCAGCTAGTGCTGTGGCTGAACTGGTGAGTACTTCCACAGAGCTCTGAGTTTGGGGAATAGAAGGAGCTAAGAGATAGAGAAGGCCTGGATCCAAGAATAGTCTGTATTTCAGAGGGCAGGGAAGTCCCACAGGACAGGAAGTCTTGGAGGGTTGGCGAGGATCTTGCTGGTGGACTGCCAGCCTCTCCCAGGAGGAGAGGGTAGGAGTGAAGTACTGGCTAGGGAATCAGGGACTGCCCTCTCTGGGAGGCCTGAGGCAATCCCTCTCCGGATCCAGTCCTATTGTCTCTAGACAGAACAGGTGGGTTGACGGTTTCAGTCTCTCCCTTCTGGCTCTGATGGGTTCCTTGGCTGTGTCCCAAGCCCTGACATTTAGAGAGGCAAGAGACCCTGGTGGCTCACCTGGACGACTCCTGCTTGTAAATGTCAATAATGTTCTCCACTAGCAGGTTTCGCTGCAGGCCGTAGACACCGTGTCTGTCCAGGACAACCTCATGCCTGCAAGATGGGCAGCGGAAACGGCCTCCTGAAGACACAGTGGTGGAGCCCCGGGACTGCCACAGAGGATTCGAGGCCTGCAGGGACAGATGGCTTGAGAGAACAGGCACGGGGAGGCATGAAGGGACTCGGAGGAGGCAGGGGGAAAGGGATTGGGGGCTAGGGAGTAGGAATATGATAGAGGGGAAGATGTCAGCTCTTCTCTGTGGCTGGATCCACCTCTGAGAGCAGCGCAGGGTGTACGGCTATGGAGACCCTGCTTCCCACCTTTGCCTCATTACTCAGCCCACCTCCTAGAGTGCCCCTGCATCTAGAGACCAGCTTTGGTAAAGGTGTAGTCAGGCTGGGATCTCTCCAAAGGGGCCCAGCTTGGAGCTGTGGGGAGACATTGGCCTTGGCAATAAGGCTGAGGCAGGAAATGGACTCTGAGTGGTGCGGCCAATGTCTTCCAGTCTGGGGCCCTCTTGAGCCACATCTGGGGTGAGATTCTCTGCAGTCCTGGGGAGGGGTACAGCAGACACAAGTGCTCAACAATGGGGTTCACAAACAGTAACTAGCCAGGTAATTCTCTGATGCCTTTTTTTTTTTTTTTTTGAGACAGGGTCTCTCTCTGATGCCCAGACTGGAGTACAGTGGTGGGATCACAGCTCACTGCAGCCTCGACCTCCTGGGCTCAAGCAATCCTCCCATCTCAGCCTTTTGAGTAGCTGGGACTACAGGTATGTACCACCATGCTCAGATAATTTTTTTAATTTTTAGTAGAGATGAAGTATCACTATGTTGCCCAGGCTGGTCTTAAACTCCTGACCTCAAGCGACCCTCCCGCCTTGGCCTCCCAAATTGCTGAGATTATAGGCATGAGCCACCATGCCCAACCTCTTAACTATATAAATTTAGGCAGGTATTCAACCTCTGTAAAGCTGAGGATAAAATTAGATTATTCATTTATAGTGTGCCAGGTAGTTGCTAGACTCTGAGTTAAAGATACAAGGAAAATGCATCCTGCTCTAAGGACAAGCACCCAACTACTGCATCCAGCAGGATGGGTGTTGTGACAGGGGTAAGTTCAGAAGGAGGACTTAACAGACACCCATCACTTCCTCCCGCTTACATCTCTTTCCTAGAGAAGTTGCTCCATCCTCTCCTAGAAGACAGATCCGTGCCACAGATGACTGATTCAGAGCTAAGGAGGTGATCACCTGACCCAAGCAGAACCAATTAAATGTTCTCTCCTAAGAATCTGCACTTGAGACTCAGGGGCTTAGCTGGCTGCACCATGTGCTGCTTAGGAACTGAACAGACCTGTGGAATTGGGCTAAGAGCTGACATCATGGCCACCCTGGAAAGTGTGAGGGGTCATAAACTTTGAACAGAGAAGGCTGGTCTACAGAGAAAAGAGTCTATGTGTGGGGAGATGCAGAGATGAAAGACTGGCAGACACTGCTTATTGTTCCCGGACGTTCACCACCTTTTGTTCTTTAATAATAAGGGCGCTGAGTTTTAACAAGACACATGGTATAAAGGGCTGGGTGTGGTGGCTCACACCTGTAGTCCCAGCACTTTGGGAGGCCTAGGTGGGCAGATCACTTGAGCTCAGGAGTTTGAGACCAGCCTGGGCAACATAGCAAGAACTCATCTTTACTAAAAATTAAAAAATTAGCTGGGCATGGTGGTGCACACCTGTAGTCCCAGCCACTCAGGAGGCTGAGGCAGGAGAATTGCTTGAAACCAGAAGACGGAGGCTGCAGTGAGCTGAGATAGTACCACTGCACTCCAGTCTGAGCAACAGAGGCAGACTCCATCTCAAAAAAACAAACAAACAAAAACCGTGAATCTAAGCCTCCCTTCCAACTGGGTGTGGCCAGTTGGCTGTGCTCTGGGATGTATATGCAAATGTTTCGTGTAATTTGTAGGAAATTGCATAAACCGTCTTTCAAGGGAGGGGCATGCCCTGCTCCTCCCCTTTTCTCCTGCCTGCTGACTGGAAAGAAGATGGGATGGCTCAAGTTGAAGCAGCCATCTTGAGTCATGAAGTGGTAGCCACATGTTGAAAATGGTAACGAGATGAAAGGAGCAGGTCTCTGATGGGGCAGTCCTGGACTGTCCACCCATACTTTCGCTTGAGAATAAAGCAAATTTTTACCCTCTTTAAGCCACTGTTATTTTGGTGTTTCTGCCACTCATAACAGAACCTAATCCTAACTGGCTGGAAGACCATGCATTCCTAGAGAATAATGGAGACAGTGGTCACCTATGACCTAGCATATTGAGATGCACTTCCTACAACTGGGATGCATGAAATTCTCCAAACCCTTATACCACACACCAACCAGAAGACAGTTTGGAAGGCCCCTTGCATGTGTGCAGCAACACCCCACCACGCACAGAGTCAGCCAAGTCAAGGGTCTTATTTGATCCTTTGGTAGCAAGGGCTGTAGGCAAGGCAGGAAATGTGGACCCACTGTGAAGTGAGCAGCTTATCTTGGGGAGAGTAACAGGTGTGTGCCATAAATACCACATCTTTCTTGGGATTTCTTGAGAATCATGTTAACCTTTAGCCCATCATAAACCTGGGCAGATTAGTTTGAGATAATTCAAGGCATGTTTGTACATCTGCCTTGTCAGTAGCTAGAAATGTATGAATATTGTTGAGTTTAGTTTAGGGAGTGCGTTAAAGTGTGTAATCACTTGCCTTTTGTTTGCTTAATACAATTACTTTTCAATATTTAGAATCCAAGTGAGGAAAGAGGTGTTGGGAGAACTCTAAGGCTGTAGGCTCCTGTCTTTCTTATCTTTGATTTGCTGATGGTAAGCATATAGAGGTACTTGAATGGGAGGAAGGGGGACCTATATCCCACAGCAAAGATAAACTCGTGGGCAGCCTCTCTCCCCAACCTCCATCCCTCACTGCACCCTTCCTCTTCCTGAGCCACAAAGGCAGGGATACTCATTACTTAACATGCAGCAAATGTTCTGAGGCCAGGCGCGCTGGCTCACACCTGTAATCCCAGCACTTTGGGAGGCCGAGGCGGGTGGATCATGAGGTCAAGAGTTCGAGACCAGCCTGGCCAACATGGTGAAATCCCATCTCTACTAAAAATACAAAAATTAGCTGGGTGCAGTGGCAGACGCCTGTTATCCCAGCTACTCGGGAGGCTGAGGCAACAGAATCGCTTGAACCCGGGAGGTGGAGGTTGCAGTGAGCCGAGATCGTGCCATTGTACTCCAGCCTGGGCGACAAGAGTGAAACTGCATCTCAAAAAAAAAAAAAAATGTTTTGAGGGCTTATTATGTGTAAAGCATTGTGTCACGGGTTTTCCAGACATTATTGAATTTATTCCTCCAGAACTTCTAGTAAAGACGGTTGAGGATCCCTCCAGGATCCCAGCTACTCGAGAGGCTAAGGCAGGAGAATTGCTCAAACCCGAGAGTCGAACCCAGGAGGCAGAGGTTGCAATGAGCTGAGATTGCACCACTGCACTCCAGCCTGGGCAACAGAGCAGGGCTGTGTCTCAAAAAAAAAAAAAGATGGTCGAGGAGATGAACAATCATCCCTAACTTAGACTACAAGAAATAGAATAATAATGGCTAACAACTATTGAGCCAGGATTTGCTCTAAGTCTTTCATTTATATTAGTTCATTTAATCATATCAACTCTGAAGAAGGTAGTACTCTTTTTTTTTTTTTTTGAGTCAGAGTCTTGCTCTGTTGCCCAGGCCGGAGTGCAGTGGCGCAATCTCAGCTCACTTCAACCTCCATCTCCCAGGTTTAAGCAATTCCCCTTCCTCAGCCTCCCGAGTAGCTGGGACTACAGGCACCTGCCACCACGCCCGGCTAAATTTTTTGTATTTTAGTGGAGACAGGGTTTCACCATGTTAGCCAGGATGGTCTCAATCTCCTGACCTCGTGATCCACCCGCTTTGGCCTCCCAAAGTGCTGGGATTACAGGCGTGAGCCACCGTGCCTGACCCTGAAGTAGGTAATACTCTTAGCCCCATTTCAAGGATGAGGAAATTGTGTCCCAGTGAAATTAAATAAATTGTACATGGTCGTGAGCTAATAGGTGGCAAAGCCAATACTGGAACTTAGGCACTCTTGACTCCAGAGCCTGTCCTAATAATCATTGTGTTCCATTGTCAGACACAATACAACTTAGGCCAGGCTGTGCATGGTGGCTCACGCCTGTAATCCCAACGCTTTGGGAGGTCAAGGCAGCAGGATGGCTTGAGTGCAGGAGTTCAAGACTAGCCTGGGCAGTACAGTGAAACCCCATCTCCACAAAAATAGAAAAAGTAAGGTGGCTCATGCCTTTAGTCCCAGGTACTTGGGAGGCTGAGGTGGGAGGATCACTTGAGCCCAGGAAGTCAAGGCTGCAGTGAGCTGTGATCACGCCACTGCACTACAGCGTGGGTGACAGAGTGAGACCTGTCTCAAAAACAAAACAAACAAACAAAAAACAAAACAAAAAATCCCTTAGAGCTAATATTCATTTCTCTGAGTCTCAGGCAGAGGCAGTTTGTTGTTGTTGTTGTTGTTTTTGAGACAGAGTCTCACTCTGTTGCCAGGCTGGAGTGCAGTGGCAGGATCTCGGCTCACTGCCACTTCCACCTCCCGGGTTCAAGTGATTCTCCTGCCTCAGCCTCCTGAGTAGCTGGGATTACAGGTGACCGCCACCATGCCCAGCTAATTTTTTGTATTTTTAGTAAAGACCGGGTTTCCCCATGTTGGCCAAGCTGGTCTCGAAATCCTGACCTCAGGTGATCCGCCCACCTCAGACTCCCAAAGTGCTGGGATTACAAGTGTGAGCCACCACGCCTGGCTGGTGTTTGTTTGTTTGTTTGTTTTTGTTTTTTTAAATTTTTTAAAGTAAAACAAGTAAAAGGGTAATGAAGGAACAAACCTCAAACCTTCACAGAGGAAAGAAACTACAGCCTGAAAACCAACTATGCAACGGTAGGCTAAAGTTATTTAAGCAAAGATCAACAAAAGATGACTCATCAAATTAAAACACTGTGTGCCATGGTTGCTTTCAACCAGAATGACCTGTTTGTCTGTGAAATGGAGAGGAAATAGCTC